ACTATACGTTATATATCAGTCACTATACGTTATATCCAGTCACTATACGTTTATATATCAGTCACTTAACACTATATACCAGTCACTATACACTATATCCCAGCCCACTATACGTTATATATCAGTCACTATACGTTATATATCAGTCACTATACGTTATATATCAGTCACTATACGTTATATATCAGTCACTATACACTATATACCAGTCACTATACACTATATACCAGTCACTATACGTTATATATCAGTCACTATACGTTATATATCAGTCACTATACACTATATACCAGTCACTATACGTTATATACAAGTCACTATACGTTATATATCAGTCACTATACACTATATACCAGTCACTATACGTTATATATCAGTCACTATACGTTATATATCAGTCACTATACACTATATACCAGTCACTATACTTTATATATCAGTCACTATACACTATATACCAGTCACTATACGTTATATACCAGTCACTATACGTTATATATCAGTCACTATACACTATATACCAGTCACTATACTTTATATATCAGTCACTATACACTATATACCAGTCACTATACGTTATATATCAGTCACTATACACTATATACCAGTCACTATACGTTATATATCAGTCACTATACGTTATATATCAGTCACTATACGTTATATATCAGTCACTATACACTATATACCAGTCCTACACGTTTTATCAGTCACTATACACTATATACCAGTCACTATACGTTATATATCAGTCACTATACGTTATATATCAGTCACTATACGTTATATATCAGTCACTATACACTATATACCAGTCATTATACGTTACATATCAGTCACTATACGTTATATACCAGTCACTATACGTTATATACCAGTCACTATACACTATATACCAGTCACTATACGTTATATACCAGTCACTATACGTTATATACCAGTCAATATACACTATATACCAGTCACTATACGTTATATACCAGTCACTATATGTTATATACCAGTCACTATACACTATATACCAGTCACTATACGTTATAATACCAGTCACTATACGTTATATTTTCAGTCACTATACTTTAAATATACCAGTCATATACGTTATATACCGTCACTATACGTTATATATCAGTCACTATACTTTTATATCCCAGTCACTATACGTTATATAAAAAGTATTACGTCACTAACGTTATATACCAGTCGCTATACGTTATATATCAGTCACTATACGTTATTTTACCAGTCCTAAAACGTTATATATCAGTCATTACGTTATATACCAGTCACTATACGTTACTTTCCAGTCATTTATACACTATATACAGTCACTATACGTTATATCCCAGTCACTATACGTTATACACCAGTCCCCTATACACTATATACAGTCACTATACGTTATATACCAGTCACTATACGTTATATATAGTCACTATACGTTATAAAACCAGTCCTATACGTTATATACCAGTCACTAACACTATATCCCAGTCACTTTTACGTTATATACCAGTCACTATACGTTATACACCAGTCACTATACACTATATACCAGTCACTATACGTTATATACCAGTCACTATACGTTATATATCAGTCACTATACGTTATATACCAGTCACTATACGTTATATACCAGTCACTATACGTTATATATCAGTCACTATACGTTATATACCAGTCACTATACGTTATATACCAGTCACTATACGTTATATACCAGTCACTATACGTTATATACCAGTCACTATACACTATATACCAGTCACTATACACTATATACCAGTCACAATACGTTATATACCAGTCATTATACGTTATATACCAGTCACTATACACTATATACCAGTCACTATACGTTATATACCAGTCACTATACGTTATATACCAGTCACTATACGTTATATACCAGTCACTATACGTTATATACCAGTCACTATACGTTATATATCAGTCACTATACGTTATATACCAGTCACTATACGTTATATACCAGTCACTATACACTATATACCAGTCACTATACGTTATATACCAGTCACTATACGTTATATATCAGTCACTATACGTTATATACGTCACTATACGTTATATATCAGTCACTATACGTTATATACCAGTCACTATACGTTATATATCAGTCACTATACGTTATATACGTCACTATACGTTATATATCAGTCACTATACGTTATATATAAGTCACTATACGTTATATATCAGTCACTATACGTTATATAGCAGTCACTATACGTTATATATCAGTCACTATACGTTATATACCAGTCACTATACTTTTATATATCAGTCATTTATAAGTTATTTTTATCAGTCACTATACGTTATATTATCAGTCACTATACGTTATATACCAGTCACTGTACGTTATATACCAGTCACTATACGTTATATACCAGTCACTATACGTTATATACCAGTCACTATACGTTATATACCAGTCACTATACGTTATATATCAGTCACTATACGTTATACATGTATACCAGTCACTATACGTTAATATCAGTCACTTTTACTTTTATATACCAGTCACTATACGTTATATACCAGTAAAGTATAAGTTATATATCAGTCACTATACGTTTATATACAGTCACTATACGTTTATTTTCAGTCACTATACGTTATATATGAGTCACTTTTACGTTATATATCAGTCACTATACGTTATATATCAGTCACTATACGTTATATATCAGTCACTATACGTTATTTTATCAGTCATATAAGTTATATATCAGTCACTATACGTTATATATCAGTCACTATACGTTATATATCAGTCACTATACGTAATATATCAGTCACTATACGTTATATATCAGTCACTATACGTTATATACCAGTCACTATACGTTATATATCATTCACTATACGTTATATACCAGTCACTATACGTTATATATCAGTCACTATACGAAATTTATATCATTAAACTATACGTTATATCCCAGTCACTATACGTTATATATCAGTCACTATACGTTATATATCATTCACTATACGTTATATACCAGTCACTATACGTTATATATCATTCACTATACGTTATATACCAGTCACTATACGTTATATATCATTCACTATACGTTATATACCAGTCACTATACGTTATATGTCACTATACGTTATATACCAGTCACTATACGTTATATATCATTCACTATACGTTATATATCATTCACTATACGTTATATACCAGTCACCATACGTTATCATTCACTATACGTTATATGTCACTATACGTTATATATCAGTCACTATACGTTATATATCAGTCACTATACGTTATATATCAGTCACTATACGTTATATAGCAGTCACTATACGTTATATATCAGTCACTATACGTTATATACCAGTCACTATATGTTATATATCAGTCACTATAAGTTATATATCAGTCACTATACGTTATATATCAGTCACTATACGTTATATACCAGTCACTATACGTTATATACCAGTCACTATACGTTATATACCAGTCACTATACGTTATATACCAGTCACTATACGTTATATACCAGTCACTATACGTTATATATCAGTCACTATACGTTATACATGTATACCAGTCACTATACGTTATATATCAGTCACTATACGTTATATACCAGTCACTATACGTTATATACCAGTCAGTATAAGTTATATATCAGTCACTATACGTTATATACCAGTCACTATACGTTATATATCAGTCACTATACGTTATATATGAGTCACTATACGTTATATATCAGTCACTATACTTTAAATATCAGTCATAATACGTTATATTATCAGTCACTATACGTTATATATCAGTCACTATACGTTATATATCAGTCACTATACGTTATATATCAGTCACTATAAGTTATATATCAGTCACTATACGTTATATATCAGTCACTATACGTTATATATCAGTCACTATAAGTTATATATCAGTCACTATACGTTATATATCAGTCACTATACGTTATATATCAGTCACTATACGTAATATATCAGTCACTATACGTTATATATCAGTCACTATACGTTTTTATACCAGTCACTATACGTTATATATCATTCACTATACGTTATATATCAGTCACTATACTTTAAATATACCAGTCCATATACGTATATATCATCACTATACGTTATATATCATTCACTATACGTTATATACCAGTCACTATACGTTATATATCAGTCACTATACGTAATATATCATTCACTATACGTTATATACCAGTCACTATACGTTATATATCAGTCACTATACGTTATATATCAGTCACTATACGTTATATACCAGTCACTATACGTTATATATCATTCACTATACGTTATATATCATTCACTATACGTTATATATCATTCACTATACGTTATATATCATTCACTATACGTTATATACCAGTCACTATACGTTATCATTCACTATACGTTATATACCAGTCACTATACGTTATATATCAGTCACTATACGTTATATATCAGTCACTATACGTTATATACCAGTCACTATACGTTATATATCATTCACTATACGTTATATACGTCACTATACGTTATATACCAGTCACTATACGTTACATATCAGTCACTATACGTTATATATCAGTCAATATACGTTATATATCAGTCACTATACGTTATATACCAGTCACTATGCGTTACATATCAGTCACTATACGTTATATATCAGTCAATATACGTTATATATCAGTCACTATACGTTATATACCAGTCACTATACGTTACATATCAGTCACTATACGTTATATATCAGTCAATATACGTTATATATCAGTCACTATACGTTATAAACCAGTCACTATACGTTACATACCAGTCACTATACGTTATATAAGTCACTATAAATAATATGTGAGTGTGAGTCAAGAGACGAGTCTGACTCACTGACGCAGTATGAGACGCAGCAGCGTCTGCTGCTGCGTCTGCTGCAGCAGCAGACGCAGCAGGTGATGACGTACCAGCCTGTCCCGACGCACAGCTTAGCAGCATTCTAGAGAGACAGCTGTGCGTCACTGTCTGACAGCTGTGCTGACACTCCACGTGTGTGTCATGCGTCATGACACGCCTGTGTCAGCCGACACTTGGTCATGGTTGCCGACCAAGCCTGGCACTGCTGACACCACCTGCTGACACGCCTGCTCAAGCTAGACTGTCCCCCGCTAGCAGTGTATACACCCTCCCTCCCTCTGCTTCCCCTACCTCCCTTCCCCTTCCCCTACCCCTTCCTCTCTCTCTCTCTCTCTCTCTCTCTCTCTCTCTCTCTCTCTCTCTCTCTCTCTCTCTCTCTCTCTCCCCGTCAGCCTCCCTCTCTCACCAATACCGTACAACAGCAACCCTAACAGCAGCAGCAGCACAACAGTAGCACCACCATAAACAGTAGCACCACCACCAACAGTAGTACCACCAACAGTAGTACCACCAACAGTAGCACCACTAGCAGTAGTAACAGTAGCACCACCAGCAGTAGTAACAGTAGCACCACCAGCAGTAGTAACAATAGGACCACCAACAGTAGCACCACCAGCAGTAGTAACAGTAGCACCACTAGCAATAGTAACAGTAGCACCACCAGCAGTAGTAACAGTACCACCAATAGTAGTAACAGTAGCACCACCAGCAGTAGTAACAGTAGCACCACCAGCAGTAGTAACAGTAGCACCATCAGCAGTAGTAACAGTAGCACCACCAGCAGTAGTAACAGTAGCACCACCAGCAGTAGTAACAGTAGCACCAGCAGTAGCAACAGTAGCACCACCAGCAGCAGTAACAGTAGCACCACCAGCAGTAGTAACAGTAGCACCACCAGCAGTAGTAACAGTAGCACCACCAGCAGTAGTAACAGTAGCACCACCAGCAGTAGTAATAGTAGCACCACCAGCAGTAGTAACAGTAGCACCACCAGCAGTAGTAACAGTAGCACCGCTAGCAGTAGTAACAGTAGCACCACCAGCAGTAGTAACAGCACCACCAGTAGTAATAGTAGCACCAGCAGTAGTAACAGTAGCACCACCAGCAGTAGTAACAGTAGCAAAACCAGCAGTAGTAACAGCACCACCAGCAGTAGTAACAGTAGCACCACCAGCAGTAGTAACAGTAGCACCACCAGCAGTAGTAACAGCACCACCAGCAGTAGTAAGAACACCACCACCAGCAGTAGTAACAGTAGCACCACAAGCAGTAGCAACAGTAGCACCACCAGCAGTAGTAACAGTAGCACCAGCAGTAGTAACAGTAGCACCACCAGCAGTAGTAACAGTAGCACCACAAGCAGTAGTAACAGTAGCACTACCAGCAGTAGTAACAGTAGCACCACCAGCAGTAGTAACAGTAGCACCACCAGCAGTAGTAACAGTAGCACCACCAGCAGTAGTAACAGTAGCACCACCAGCAGTAGTAACAGTAGCACCACCAGCAGTAGTAACAGTAGCACCACCAGCAGTAGTAACACTAGCACCACCAGCAGTAGTAACAGTAGCACCACCAGCAGTAGTAACAGTAGCACCACCAGCAGTAGTAACAGTAGCACCACCAGCAGTAGTAACAGTAGCACCACCAGCAGTAGTAACAGTAGCACCACCAGCAGTAGTAACACTAGCACCACCAGCAGTAGTAACAGTAGCACCACCAGCAGTAGTAACAGTAGCACCACCAGCAGTAGTAACAGTAGCACCACCACAGAAGTAAATAGCAAACGAGAACCAGAAGCCCAACAGAAAGGGAACAGAGCAACAGCAGTAACACAGAACGAGCAACCACAGTAGTAACAGAGCAACCCCCAGAACAGTTTTAAAAGAGCACCCGCGACCAGCAACAGAATAAAGAGACAGGAACAACAAGAACAATAAGCGCAACAGAAGCAGTAACAGCAGCAACAGCAGTAACAGCAGTAACAGCAGTAACAGCAGTAACAGGAGCAACAGCAGTAACAGCAGTAACAGCAGCAACAGCAGCAACAGCAGCAACAGCAGTAACAGCAGTAACAGCAGTAACAGCAGTAACAGCAGTAACAGCAGAACAGCAGTAGACAAGCAGCAAAAACCCGCACGGCAACAGCAGTAACAGCAGCAACAGCAGCAACAGCAGTAACAGCAACAGCAAAAACAGCAGTAACAGCAACAACAGCAGTAACAGCAACAACAGAAACAGCAACAATAGCAGTAACAGCAACAACAGCAGTAACAGCAACAACAGAAACAGCAACAATAGCAGTAACAGCAACAACAGCAGTAACAGCAACAACAGCAGTTACAGCAACAACAGCAGTAACAGCAACAGCAGTAACAGCAACAACAGCAGTAACAGCAACAACAGTAACAGCAACAACAGCAGTAACAGCAACAACAGCAGTAACAGCAACAACAGCAGTAACAGCAACAACAGCAGTAACAGCAACAACAGCAGTAACAACAACAACAGCAGTAACAGCAACAGCAGTAACAGCAACAACAGCAGTAACAACAACAGCAGTAACAGCAACAACAGCAGTAACAGCAACAACAGCAGTAACAGCAAAACAGCAGTTTACAGCACAAGCAGTAACAGCAACCAGTAACAGCAACAACAGCAGTTACAGCAACAAACAGCCCCGTAACAGCAACAAAAAGCAGTACAGCAACAACAGAAAAACAAAACACAAAGCAACAACAGCAGTTACAGCAACAACAGCAGTAACAACAACAGAAAAACAGCAACAAACAGCATCGCAAAAGCAAACAAACAGCAGTAACACAACAACACAGTAACAAAAAACGCGTAACAGCAACAACAGCAGTAACAACAACAGCAGTAACACAACAACAGCAGTAAACAAAACAGCAGTAAACAGCAAACAGCAGTAAACAACAACAGCATAACAGCAACAACAGCAGTAACACAAAAACAGCAGTAACAACAACAGCAGTAAACAGCAACAACGCATAACAGCAACAACACAGTAACAACAACAGCAGTAACAACAACAGCAGTAACAACAACAGCAGTAACAGCAACAACAGCATAACAGCAACAACACAGTAACAACAACAGCAGTTAACAACAAAAAGCAGTAACAGCAACAAAAGCAGTACAGCAACAACAGCAGTAAACAACAACAGCATAACAACAACAGCAGTAACAGCAAAAAACAGCAGTAACAGCAACAACAGCAGTAACAGCAACAACAGCTAAACAACAACAGCAGTAACCAACAAAAAGCAGTAACACAACAACAGCAGTAACAGCAAAACAGCAGTAACACAACAACAGCAGTAAACAACAACAGCAGTAACAGCAACAACAGCAGTAACAGCAACAACAGCAGTAACAGCAACAACAGCAGTAACAACAACAGCAGTAACAGCACAACAGCAGTAACAGCAACAACAGCAGTAAACAAGCAAACAACAGCAGTAACACAACAACAGCCCTAACAACACACAGTAACAACAACAGCAGTAACAGCAACAACAGCAGTAACAACAACAGCAGTAACAACAACAGCAGTAACAACAACAACAGCAGTAACAGCAACAGCAGTAACAGCAACAACAGCAGTAACAGCAACAGCAGTAACAGCAACAACAGCAGTAACAGCACAACAGCGTAACGCAACAACAGAAAAAACAACAACAGGTAACAGCAACAGAAAAGCAAACAGAAACAGCAACAAACAGCAACACCCTAATCCGACATATCTTTCTAAGACTATAATATCAGTAACAACAACACCAAACAACACACCAACAACAAAACCAACAACACCAAAAACAACACCAAACACCAACAAACAACAACCAACAACAACACCAACAAAACAACAACAACACCAAAACAACAACAATAACAACCAACACCACACTCCTGAAATATCTTTCTAAGGACTATAATATCAGTAACAAAAACAACAACAACACACCAACAACAACAACACCCAACAACAACAACAACCAACACCAACAACAAACCAAAAACAACAACAACAACAACAACAACAACAACAACAACACCAACAACAAGAAAACCAACAACACCAACAACACAACGCAACACCAACAACACCACCACAACACAACAACACCAACAACACCAACAACAACAACAGCAACACAAAAACCAACCAACAACACCAACAACACCAACAACAACAACGCAACACCCAAAAACACCACAACAAAAAACAACAACACCAACAACAACAACAACACCAACAACAACAGCAACACCAACAACAACAACACCAACAACACAACAACAACAACACCACCAACAACAACAACACCAACAACAACAACAACAACAACACCAACAACACCACAACAAAACACCAACAACACCAACACCCAAAAACAACAACAACAACAACACCAACAACAACAACAACACCAAAAACCAACAACACCAAAAAACCAACAACAACAAAAACCCAACAACAACAACAACCCCAAAAAACCAAAAAACAACACCAACAACAACAACAACCCCCAACAACCCCAACAACAACAACACCAATAACAACAACCCCAAACAACAACAAAAACAACAACACCAAAAACCCCAACACCAACAACAACAACAAAAACCACCAAAAACCAACCCCAAAACAACAAAAACCAACAACCCCAAACCCCCAAACCCAAAACCCCTTTACATATTTTTCCCAAAGGACTAATAATATCATAACAAAAAACAACAACAACACCAAAAACCCAACAAAACACAGCAGCAACCCCAACAACAAAAACCCAGCAAAAACCCACCAAAAACACAAAAACCAACAACCCCAAACCAACACCAAGCCCATCCTAAACATATCTTTCTAAGGACTATAATTTAGTAACAACAACACCAACAAAAACAAAAAAACACCAACCCCCAACACACCCTGACAAAACTTTCAAAGGGACTAAAAAAACAGTAACAACACCCAACAACAACAACAACACCAACAAAATCCTGACATACTTCCCTAAGGACTATAATATAAATTAACCCAAAACAACAACAAAAACACCAACAACAACAACAACACCAACAACAAAAACCCCAAACCCAAAAACAACAATAACAAAAAACAAAAACCAAACACACCCCTGAAAATATCTTTCAAAGGGACTATAATACCCAGTAAAAAAACCCAACAACAACAAAAACCACCAAAAACCCAA